ATGCATATTAAAAGTCATGTTGAAGGTAAAAGTTATTTTATTTTTACAATAATTTTGTTATCTACAATTTGCTTAGTGTCATTTCATCAAAAAATGAATATAATAAAGATTTGATCCAAAAAAAGTGAAGGAATTTGACTTGTTTCAGAAATAATTGTCTCGATTTATGTTTTGTTTTAAAGTGATTATTATGATGGCACACGTGCATATGCTCTCTCGAAGCTTGCCAACGTTTTGCATACCAAGGAACTTGCTCAGAGATTGGAGGTAATTAAGTCGAATTATCAATTATTTTGGGTTACAAATAGATTAAAATTAACATAAAAAGTGAAATTTGTTGCTTTTTCACGATCATATTATCATGCATTCGATCAATAATTGCAGGAAATGAAAGCAAATGTGACAGTAAACTGTGTGCATCCAGGGATTGTGAGAACAAGGCTCACTAGAGATCGAGAAGGCCTCATCACTGGTAAATGCTTAATTTCTATAGTCTCATTTTTAGTATCGACTAATAATAAATAAAGGGTTCAAACATTTGAAAATCACTATTGTTCACTTTTGTGTATTATATATGGTTAATTTCGCAAAATTCATCTTAAATACATGAAAGTGTAGTATCAAATGGTTTACATTATCGAGTATGAGTTCGTACAATTTTGTGTGCAAAAAACTTCTAATAATGAATATTTTTATCTGTATGCAGATGCGGTTTTCTTTCTGGCTTCAAAGCTATTAAAAACAATTCCTCAGGTAAAATTTTTTTATTTAATCTCGAATAACTTATCGGCTAACTGACCGAGCCGATAAGTTACTCTCTCAAGCATTTTTAGCATGTTCACTAAATCATCTAGGACTTTTTATTTTTATCCAAGGAGAGGGTTTTGCAAGTGAACTTCGACATTATTTTTTTCGTCACCTTACGTATTTATTTATTATGAATATCAATTAAAATAAATGATTTTCTTTCTCAGGCAGCTGCCACAACTTGTTATGTTGCTATACATCCAAGACTTGCTAATATCAGCGGAAAATACTTTTCAGATTGCAATGAAGTTTCAACCTCGAAATTAGGGTTCAACTCAACAGAAGCTGCAAGATTATGGTCCATCTCCGAAAACATGGTTGCCCAGAAAATCTGATCTAGAAAAACATAAGAAATATAGGAAGTACACACATGTACAGATAAGAAAGTAATCTATGCGGCTGTCAGGTAGAAAGGTAAAAAATATTTACAACGACAAAGTTTCAAGAAATATTTAAAATTAGAGGTGTGTGTTACTATTATGTATATTGTAATGCATACTTTAATTAGGCAGTTAGACTCTTGTAACATTATTTGGTTTAGCAATAATATATAACTAATATTAAGTAGTGGCTGTGTTCGAATTTATTTTCTGGTGTGAACGTCCTTAGCACACTGGTAATTAGCGATCTGCGGGAATCGAAGTCGTATTGTTAATTTAGAAAGCAGTTATATTTGATGTGGATTTATTAATAGAATATTTCCAAATTTTCCAATCATCTCTCTCTCGTTTCTTTTTTTTTTTCCTTTTTTTTTTGGCTCCTGTGTGGGGCATAATAATATATATTTCTTTGGTTATTGGGACAGAGATTTAATAATATCGTGATTAGCATTATCCTTGCACATAAGATACCTAAACCATAGTTCAGGGGCGAACCCCGAACGGAAATCCAGTAAAGGCGAAATCAAAAAACTCTAGGGCCGAAACAAAAAAATCTTCGGAAAAAAATCTGAAAATCTAAAAAAACTTGGAGAAAAACTGAAAATCGACTGGAGGCGGTCAACCCTGCGGGGCCTCAAGTAGGTCTGCCCCTGCCATAGTTTCTTCATATTTTTATTGGAGAGATATATATTTTTAAAAAGAAATGACTTGTTCACTATCATGTGGGAGGTCAATTATTTGGAGAGTATCTTTGGGTGTTTGGCTAAGGCCTACTAACGTGCATTAGGTTGAGGCAACCATCAAGGAAATTAAAGGCTTCTTTCTTCTTCTTTTTTTCTATCAACTTTTCTACCATTTTATTGTTAAAAATATAAGTTATATGTTAGAGTTAAATTTGATTAGTTTATTTGGAAAATGACCTTTTACCGACATCCAACCCAAAGTTTTTTGTTTTTTCTTTTTAAGTTGGACGCGCATGAATTCAAACAAATGCTAGAGTTAGAATCGAATTAAAAATAAAATTGACCTTACACATTCATATATCAATTCAGAGGGAAAAAAATGTACTTGTAAATATACTAAAATAAGTGACCTTACACATTAAACAAGTGTAGATATGTATACTAAAATATCAAGTTTTCATGATGTCAATCAACTACGAAACTATTGGTCTCCTAATTTGTCCCCCTTAAAGGTAGTTAATTACAAGTATGAAGTAACATTGAGCATGCTAGTTAGATGTAAGATAAGGAATGCAGTATTTATTAATATTGTGAGACTAAAAAGAACTTTCGGAAGAAAATGTATGACTTGATTTCAATTCAAATTAAAGCACGTCGGGAAGTGTTCGTAAATGAATTATAAATAAATAAAAATGAGTGGTGAATAAGTAAATAATATATGTGAGTCTCTTAAAATGTATAAATTAAAAGTTTAAAAACATAGTAAATTAAAGTAGTCTATATTAATTAGTAAATGGGACTAGATTAGTAAGAAAATCAAATCTATATCTCATGTGTACTCTATGCTCCGTGTCACAATTTTTCCAGGCATAAACTTCTTAAGCTCCTCATAATTGTGTCATTGTCCTATTTGGAGTAAGTCAGTTAGGTCCAAAATAGTATCAAATTGTCACAACCTAGGTTGTATGAATACTTTTCCACAACTTCTTCTTGTAAACGTTGGATTGAATTTCATAGACATTGGCTGATGAGTAATTGTTACCAACTACCAAATCCAAAGGCTCGACCCAAAAACAATGTGGACCATTGAAAATAGCTTCAAAAATTAATGCTACTCATGGCCCATATATATTTACTTATTGGACAGCTTTGAATCTTGATCCATTTTACCATTTTATTTGTCCAATTAAAACCTAACCTATTCTATATATATGTTGCTTTTGACCTAGCCATGTTGTGTGTGATTTGTGCATTGGAGAGAAGAAAACGTGGGTGCTTTGTGCTTCCAAAAACCGGCTGCTATAAGGTGAAAAAAGGTAGTTGCTCCTTTGTGTATGAAAGAGAGGAAAAACATGGCCATTGCGATAGAGAAAACCGCAACTTGCTTCGCCCAAAAATATGTGGCTTCTTCTTTCTTTTTGACCTTCTTATGAGCCTCTTTCATTGTTTTCTTCTTATGTCTTTGTGGCTTGCAAATTATCACATTTATTTTTTCTTTTGTGGGTGAGATTGAACAGCATTCAAGGTGAATATATTGATCGTGGGTTGGTACCGTTTGGGATGATTGTTTGATAGAGAAAGATAACATGAAACTAATCTCAAAAATCACCGATTTGAAGATTTTGGAACAAGCTTTCTCAACACAAATTCTTTGAGAACTCTCGAAAATCCTTCAAAAGTGAAAATAAGTTTCCTAATTTTTTTTAATTAGGAACTTCAACGGAACTCTGTTGGAAACTTTTATAGAACTTTTGACCATAATATTTAAAATAGATTAGAAATTACACTTGGTCATGGGCTTTATTGTAAGCTTCAAATTTTTGCTAGTTGTACAATCGGTGTTGACAACCCCTCATATGGTAGGGACCCATGATGAATAAAAAAATCGTGAACCCCCAAATATCAGAAGAGTGTCAACCCTGATTGTACACATAACATGCTCCAATTTAGAATTAACTAAATATTTGCATGCGTGGCTTCTTATGTTACAAAAGATTGAAGTTTCAATTAATGTTAATTGTTTTCTCAAAATTAAATATTATATTTATAAAAGTCAATTACAATATCTTAATTACTACATTTCCATGGCATTCTATGCCTTGCTTTTTAAAAAAAATGATGTTTCTATTGTTGTACACTATGTTTGTTAGGTTTCAATTGTATTGACTATTCTTTAGACAAAAGAATTATTATAAAAGAGCTGTAAAAGTCAAGAAGCCCGTTGTATTGTCGTATAGATGAACTAGGAGTATTTGGTTTAGAGTATTGAATATGGAGAAAAAGTCATCGGAATTGTGCTAGCCTGATGCTCGAGTGTCCAAAACAAAATTATTGTCACTCGACTATCGCTCAAACAACAATGCCTTTCAAAAAAATTGTAGTTCGTGATTTTCAAGAGTTCTATCTATCATATACTACCCCAATATCTCTCTATTATAAATGCACGAACCCTACTTCATGTAAAAGAGTGATTGATCATTATATTTTACCTTCTTAACATTCTTTGGAGATCAAACAACAATTCTACATCTTGAGATTAATCAACCACAAGTTGGAAAATAACATCAAAATCATATAATCCAAAACACTCACTTCCAAAATATAATCAGGAATGTAATATCTCAATAGTTTTTAGAGGTTGCTGAAAATTGAGGGAAGTTGGACCAGAAGCATAAGAAAAGTACAAGAATAAGGTGTTCTTGGTGATTCACTGAAAATCGAGAGCAGGTTTGAGTAAAGCACGTTCCAACGGGTCTTGGAGATTGTAAAAATTAGGTCAACGAGTCTAGTAGGTTTTTAAGTTGGATCATACTGTAAGTTCTAATTGTCTACAGTGGAAGTTACTAGCTTGGTCGCAAAGTTTTAAATTATGTTATGGGTTTTTTTGTCAATAAATCTTGTGTTATTTACTACTTTATTTACTATTGTGACAATTCAACATAGGATAAAATTAATTTGGTTAATTAAACATCTAGAACATTAAAAAGTGACTTGTTACTTTTAAGTAGTAATTTAGTTCCGCGTTATTCACATATTAACCATCTCTAGGTGATTTTAGGGTCGAACTAATGACTTTCAATGTCAAATCTCACTTTCATTTTTGTGTAATCTACTTCGTCAATATCTAGCCATCTAGAAACCTAAGTGCATTTTCTCCATGTACAAGTGTTGGAAAAAAACTGAGTTATGGGCCGACTTTGGCACGAGTTTTGAGTGGGATCCGGTTGTTCAATTTGGAAGATGAAAGTTGATTTGTGTTCTCCTCCGTGAGTACATTGAAATCATATACTTACTTGCCAAAGATGATGCTCGGGTGAATGAGAAATTGAGGTTCAAAGTGTGCCACTCAAAAGGAAGTTTATGTGGGAAAAATGAATTTGTCCCACATAGGAAAAAGATGAGAAATTCCAAAGGTCACTGCCATTAATGGTAGCCTAACCTATAAATAGTGGTTCATTTTCCTCATTTCAATACACTAAAGAAAAAGCTTTCAAGTTTAGAATACAAAAGAAATTCATTTGCATAGAATTCTGTCTTTTCTGCATTTCTGTCTTGGTGGTGGTGTTGTTCAGGCACTAGTTCAATTCGCCGGAGTGGTTTCTGCAATGCTCGGAAGCTACTGGTTTTACCGTTGTATTTTGGAAAACGGACGCTTATTTTAAATCTCAAGCACGGACAGTGAGGGGGCGAATCTGTTTTAAGGAAACTGTGTGTAACACAGGTCTCGGTTTGAAATTTTATTTCCTGCAATTTCAATTATTCGTTCTGTTATTTATTGCAGTAAATTCAATAGTAGATTTGTTGTTCATTCTGTTATTATCCAATTAATTGTACGACTGTAACTTGCTGTTATATATCATCTTACCGGACAAAAGGCATATACGGTATTAAAATTGAGAATACCGGATTCCTCATTTTTCATAAATTGATCGAACTTGTGAAACTTGGGATTTTCCCTACAAGCTTAAAATAGATTTTCAGAAAGGAAAAATTGGTTTCCTATATTGATTATTTCTGAACTGATTAGTTTCTTATATTTGTTATATTGTGGAAACTAATTTGTTGTTTGGTTCTTTCAGAAGACGAAATGGCAACCAGTTCCAACAACATGGATTCCAACATGGATGTGTCCCAAGCTGTAGGTACCCAAACTCATGCTGTGGGTTCTACTATGGGTGCAGGGCCTAGTTCGGCTATGGGTACAGCTATGGCTGTAGGGCCTAGCTCTGTTATGGCTCAGACTGTGGCTCAAGTGCCAAGTCGTGTTGTGAGCCAACATGTGGCTAATGTTCCGATTAATGTACCGGTTAACCATGGGGAAAAGTCGGAGAAATTCAACGGCTTGAATTTCAAGAGGTGGCAGCAGAAAATGCTATTCTATCTGACCACCTTGAATCTTGCGAGATTCTTGACTGAAAGTGCTCCAAAACTCCAAGAGGGTGGGGTGGATGTTCAAGCAATCAGTGCTGTTGATGCTTAGAACCACTCGGACTTCTTATGCTGG